CTCAAGTCAAAATACAAGAGCATAACTAAATTATTGTGGCCACTTAAGTAAGATTACAATAACCTTACTAGATTTTTGCTTTAAACATTGCAAGGTTGACGCTACATGAAGACACTACAAACTGGACTGCAGCAAGACTCAAAGATTTGACACTTCATCCTGCCAACAACAATATTTAAGATTCATACTATCGTTTAGGGTAGAGAAAGCTCTGGTGCTCACATCTGACAAGAGTGTGAACTAAAGTTTCCTCCTATCCTTAGAGGATAACCTTAAAGAAATGCCCTGCACATACCAACAGTTTAAGAATAAACTGTGGTTTCTCAGACATGTAAATGAAAGGAGTAGCTACTGTCACTCTAGAAGCTATATAACTGTGCTTCAAATAGAGTTTATGCTCACCACACCCACCACTTCAGGTGATGCTGTTGGCTTTGTTTCACCACCACAGGTTTGGTGAAGACACTAGGATGCTGAGTACCTCTGCTACCCCTCTTACCAAGGGAGTATAAGAGGGTTTGGGATAATTCAGCATAACTCTAGATTCCATTACCTGTAGTTTAGAAATACAACACAGTGACAGGCACTATGAATTATGGCTTCTCAGGGGAATCACATAGGTACTATGAAACGGTTTACAGCACACAGCAAAGAATAACCTGAAAATCCCAGAGCAGCAAAATAAGGGCTGAGGAGAAATCCGACTGCCTCATAATTTACAGCATGGAGGTAAACAGCAACAGGAGTGGGGTGGGGAGGTGCAAAAAAACCCAAAATTAATATTGTTACAAAAGAAGAAGTGGTTGTAAAATGATGAGGGATAGATTTGGACTAGAAACTAACCAAAGAAATGAAGTCATGGCGCACACATCCAGTAAGAACACAGGGGAAGAAATTCTAATTCATTTTACAATAGAGCTTACTATATTCGCAAACAGTTCAGAATTTTCTGAATACCTGTTACAGCAAGGCTCACGCCTCAGTGAGTCAAGCAAACCTCTCCAATTTGATGTTCAGAGTTCCACCAGAGCTGTGCCAGTGAGACGGACAACGCTGAGTGTTCAGCAGTAAACACAAAGTTCTAAATCCTGATATTTAGCATAATTTTAAAACAAAGATCACAAAGATAGACTGAAGTTAATCTTCAGAAAGAAACAGCAAGATTTAATGTTCAAGAACATGAAAATGGAAGGGCTACCAGCGACTCTAAATAGATCCAGAAAATCAGTACTGAATACAAACATGAAAAATATAACAAGGAAATGCATTTCACAGCTACTTCAGGAGTTTAAAAGTAAACCCAGTGAGATTAAGAGTGCTTTGCAAAAATAAAGCCAGCAAAGAAAGGTGGTGGCTTCTTGAAGACATCTGCTGTGCAAGATGGATGCTGTAAATACTGTCTGTTCACTGGTCTTGGAAAATTTATCTTCCACACCTCAGAAGTATGTGACAGACTTTCGCTGACAATGGGAGGGATTTTCAAAAACATCTGCTATTCTGTAGGGTCAGATTTAGACTGTAGTACTTCTCCAAAATTTTGGTCCCTGCTAATTTGCTGGAAAAGACTGCCCCTTAAAGAAAACAGTTCTCTTAGTATCTACAGACATAGTTACTGTTAAACTGAAAAAAACTTGCTAACAAATTGACAAACGTGCAGAACAGAGCAAGAAGTTATGAATGCACAAGAAACAGAGCACCAGAACAGTTTACACGTAGACCCGTAGAGACCTTCTTTTCCAATTGATTTTAGCATCTACTGTAAAAATTTCAGACAGTATTACCAAGGTGTCAGCTGAAGGAGTCGGGATCTGGACCTGCTTATGCTGCATATGAAAGAAGACACCAAATGAAGCCAGTTTCCTTCCCTTCTTCCTCCAGAGATTGTTTCTAATAATTACAACTGTGCTCCTGGTCTGTTTCCAAAAAAGCGGAGGGCTGGGAAGGCAGGCAGGCTGCAGACAGGGAGTGAGAGACAAAGCAGTGCGGAGAACAGAGAGATTTGCAAATCAGACTGTCTTTTTCAGTGCTAAAAGTTTGAAACTGATGATAGGAAACTGGAGACAGTACGGGACATGAGCTATTTTCCACACCATTTGTCAAAGAATTTTCTGGCAGCATTCAACATGATACTTTTGCAAGACTAAGTTTTAAACAAGAATAACTAAAAAAAAAGTTAAAAAAAAAAAGGAAAAACCAAATGCTTCAATCATGAAGTGAACACAGTTCTAAGATCTTGGCCTAGGAAGATAAGAAGATGTAAAGACTTTACTTTCTCCTCATATTTTTTCCTTTAATTCTGGAGTTATTGCTTTCATTAACTTAAGTAAGAGTTTGAGGTTTGTCTACATAGGCATTTGCTTATTATTTTCACTTTTTTTTTCCTATTAAAAACAACAGAAAAATAGTTTTATCTATATACTGACACCTTGGGAAGGTAAGGAGAAACTGCAGCATTCCGTACTACAAAAAATACAGCATAGTTAAAATTCTTAGTTTGTATTGCTAACTACTGAAACTGCTGCCCAAAACTGTGGATTTTATATACTATAACCTATTTAGCGTAAGTCTTCTTTTTTCATATTAGAAATGTCAGCAAGAAACTTGCAGCCAAAGACAGTTCCTTAGGAAAGATTTGCAGACATTGAATTACAAGGATACTGATCAAATATATACATATATAACATGTCAAGTATAACTCACATACAAGTAATATGGAAAAATACTATCATTTATCGTAACACCAGTTAAGTACCTAGGAAGGAAAACATTCGAGCACATGGAAAAACATACATGATCAGTTTGAGAAACTCTTCTCCATAAATTTAGAAGATTGGTTGTATGGAAAAACATACAGAAAAAGACATCAAACACTTCACAATAAGTATGTTGTCCATCTTTTATTACCTCAAATTCAGGCCTGATGTTCAAAAAAGTACTTATTTTAATCATATATTTAAATGAGATGTCTGTGACAAATTATAAGAGCTTGTTTTGCAGTGAACAGCAAAGAATAAATTTTAACAATTTTTAAGTTCAATGAATAACTTGGTCTGCAATATCTAAACTACAACCAACAAGCAGTAACTTTGCAAATCTTGATTATGAGACTTTAAAAATATCGTCTTTGCTGTCCCTAATCCCTTCACACATACATATATTTCTGAAAATAATTTCAGAAGATAATAAAGCCTATTAGTCCATTGATGATTTTCAAAAATTCCCATGATTCCCTCTTTAAATGCAAATCCCAAGCACAAAAACAGGTTGGGTAGAGAATGGATTGAAAGCAGCCCTGAGGAGAAGGACCTGGGGGTGTCGGTGGACAAGAAGCTCAACGTGAGCCGGCAATGCGCGATTGCAGCCCAGAAAGCCAACCATATCCTGGGCTGCATCAGAAGAAGTGTGGCCAGCAGGTCAAGGGAAATGTTCTCACTCTCTACTCCACTGTCGTGAGACCCCACCTGGAATACTGCATCCAGCTCCGGAGCCCTCAACGTAAGAAGGACATGGACCTGTTGGAGTGGGTCCAGAGGAGGGACACAAAGGTGATCAGAGGGCTGGAGCACCTCTCCTATGAGGGCAGGCTGAGAGAGTTGGGGTTGTTCAGTCTGGAGAAGAGAAGGCTCTGGGGAGACCTTATAGCAGCTTTCCAGTACCTGAAGGGGGCCTACAAGAAAGTCAGAGAAGGGCTTTTTGCAAGGGCATGTAGTGATAGAATGAGGGGTAATGGCTTCAAACTGGACAAGGGGAGATTTGGCCTAGATATGACGAAAACTTTTT